GAATTGAAGATGCCAGCAAGGCGTCATCTCAGTTTCACAGGGAACCTGCTTCCTTTTGACTGAGGAAGCTGCCAGACCCCTCCAAGAAGAAAAAGAAGAAAAGCAGGAGCAATAGCCAACCCAGGCTGATGTTGCAATTTTTGTTATCGTTGAGGCGTGGGAACACAAGTGATCGGTGAAGGAAGAAAGAGGAGACCAGCAGGGTTTCGGCACGCCACTAAGGGCCATCCTGCCTGGTTCTTTACTTCCAGCGCCCGCCAACCTTGCCCTTGGCTCCTGCCTTCTTGCTGCTACAATACAAAAGGGAAGAAAAACATGTCAGCATGACAGAAGAAGTGGGGCTCTGTGACCACTGTGCATTTCTGACTCTTGGATTAGGATCGATCTGCTTTCACTTCTCACATGTTGGGCACACCTGCCATAGAGCGCATCCTGAGAAAAATATTGTCGATATTGTGGAAGGAGATTCCTCAGGCTCTTAGTGAAAGGCCAGGATGTGCATGCCTGAAAGAGGTGGACCCTTCCAGATTCCTGCATTATCACGACAGAAGCCCAGGTGGTCTCAAAACTAAGTTACAGGCTTATCCAGCCACAGACTTGATCTTTCCTGAATTCAAATCTGCTATGATCTGGATTTTAGTATTTAGAGCTGTTTCTGGAGAAAATTTCCTCATTGTCAGGGAGCTCTGGTCAAGTTCCCCAGATGCTCTAGTCATCTAGTAGTGGAGGCAAAAAGCTGAGCAATAATTTAAATACAACTAAGAATTGCTTTGCTCTAGCAAAGGCGGAGTGGCTTCTGCCTTATTTCACGAGAGCAAGAGCCTCCAAAACAGTCCAAACAACTTTTTAGGCCTCCCCTCGTGTCAGTATCCCCATCTTGCTCGTGGTGTGTGTGGGAGCAGTCCAGCTACACCCCCCACGCAAAGCACCTGAGGCAGACTCTCTCCAAAGAGTATTTTCGTGCACACAGAAGGGCAATCCTACATGCAAGCCACTTACCTTTTGACTGAGAAGCAGGCAAGCCTGGAGTCAGAGAGGGACCAGGCGTGAAGTTAGTTGGGTTAGATTTTACACTGGCTCCCGTAGGCAGCACTGTGGCTTTTGGGGCTCGGCACACCACCAAACCTTTCCATCTCACACACACGATGATGAGGCTGCTTCTTGAACCAAAGCACATGCAAACTGGGGGCAGCTCTTTGCCATGGCAGAGCATGGGGTTGGGCGCCAAGCACAAGGTTGTGGGGCCTTGCTGTCAACAGAGAGGCCTTCTTCAGAACCACTGTTTCCTCCAGAGAGCAGAAAAAAATGTGGACGACACATATGGGGAGATTTTTTGTGGTGCTGCCCCATGGATTGGTTCAAGACCACTAGCCACATTTATGGAAGGATGTAGCACAGTGACACAGACGTACACATAGTGGATACTTTACCTTTTGACCAAGTTAGACTTGGCCTATTCGAAAAATTGACCTTTTACATGAGAGACAGCAGAGCGTTTTCTGCTTATCTTAAATTCGTCTCAGTGTCCCTTTTGCCAGCCTTTCCACAGGTTCAAAACCCGGTATAGGAACTGTGCAGCTCCTTGAACGAAGGCAGAGTTCTTTTTATCTCCATAAGCGCCTGTGATGTTTGATGTTATGACTAACCTTTAGAGTGTGCTTAAGGAGACTTTAATAAAGTCTGAAAGGACTAAAAAAAGGATCACTTGATCCGTGTATAACACATTAGCAGACATTGCTTTGGAATGATACAGTCTAGTGTGGATAGAAATTTAAGTACACAGAAATTTCACAATCTGTGGGCTTCTCAGTGCAACCTTTTCAAATGATGTTCTGAGAGAATATCATGTCTTTTGGGGGAACAAGCATGCAGTAGTGGTACTGCCTGTTGTGGGTGGTGTGGTAGTGCCCCTCAGAAGAGCAGCAACACCCAGACAAACCATGGCATCCTTCTGCAGCTGCACATTCTGCTGAGGTCTATCAGCCTACAGCTCTGTACAGAAAATACCATGGGAAGGTCAAGCCTTATGTTTCGCATCTACAGACAACTGCGCCCCCAGTGTTACATTCATCTGATAAGGCAGGGTGGCCTGGGGAAGTGGGAAGGCAGTGTCTGTTCACTGCTGTCATCCAAACACGTCACCAAAGACCTCCACTTCATTCCTGGCATGACTTTGCTAAGCAGATACAGAAGCACAGTAAAGATCACATCCCACCACTGCAGAGCTCTCCTCCCTTGCTTCCCTGCAGTTCCTTCTCTGTGTCTATTAGTTTTCTACATGCCCTAGCCCCCAGGCTTTGTCTAGGCCTGGTCCTCTCATAAGTTCATTGTAAACACCAAGAATAGTTAAAGATATAAGACTCAAACAATCTAATGAAATAGAAATCTTGTGGGGAAGGAAAGTGGGAGAGAGAGATGATGAGTGAAAAGAACTCACAACAGTAGTCCCATGGTGTTAGTCTTGTTACACACCATTCCTTATAACCTTAGCAACCACTTGTTTACCCTTCATAAACAAGGGTTGTATTCCCACAAGTATTCAAAGCACCTCCGTCAGGTGTTTGAAAACCCCGGCAATAAGCAGATGGAAATTTTGCAGGCATGGTGTGAAGAAACATGATTTTTTCATGTTAGTTGTTACGTCCACTTCAGTTTCCCCTTCATTTTCTCAATGTGAGACAGGATGGGAGTTGCCCTTCCATCTCTAGCCTCATTTCATTGCAACAAGAAAATGTCGGTGTTGAGGCTGAAGTGACTACTTTGAACACTGAGAAGATATCCCCAAGCCAGGAGCTAGGAAGTTGGTATAGGTACTTACTGCTTCTGAGCCTGATCGATGCGGTTCCTGAGGGTGACAATCTGCAAACAACATATATGACCAGGGTTTTTAGACATAAAGAAACCTTGTTCCCTCACAGAGAGGGGAGTTTTACCTGCCGAAGTGCTGGAAGCAGGTTCCTATGGTAGGGATTAATACTCCCTTTGAAATAAAAGCTCACCCTTGCTTGAAGGAGAGAAATGTTGCTCCTTGGTAATAAATCTGCAAGCCATTTTCATATGTCAAGGGAAAGAAGAGCTAGAATTTTATAACCTTTATTAGAAGAGTTCCTATGTATACAAATTAACATCCTATGAACTCACATGTCAAACTGCAGGCAAGTGAACCGGAATGAACATCACCCTGGCCATTTGGAAAGCTCTTGCATGGCCCCATCCACCTGTATGTATCAACCTCACCTTCTCACTCTCCCCCTACTCCTACACATTCAGAAGCATATAAGCTCAAAGTGCTTCAATGGACTTTGAATGGGGACCTCAGGAATGGAAGATGGATCACACATTCTGCTGGAGTACCTTTGTTGGTTGGGAGAGCAGGAGGTGAGGAGCATGCAGCAGTCACCACCTTCCCAGCCACTCATCTAATAAGAGAAGACAATTTTTAAAGGGGCTGAAGAAGAAAATATTCAAGGAGAGCTTGAGCAGCCACAGAGGCAAAGGTTGGAGTTGGGGCTCTGAACACCTTCCCAAGCTCTGTTGATGACTGCAAGCCACTAGAGAGTCCAGTCCTACAAGACAGAGCATCTCTTTGTTTAGCCATAGGCAAACTGCTTATTACAACCTGACACATGGGAAAGCAAACACCTACCTTGCACAGGATGAGCACCTTATGGCCTGGCTTAGCACCTAAGTCCTGGGCCATAGCCCTGGACTCGCTACTGAAATCCTGGGACTCTTCCAGCTCAGGTACTGGAAAAGCCCACAGGAACTAGGGTGTGATAGAGAGCCCTCTTTTGTCCCTTCACCTTCTCATCTGTAACATAGTCAAGGTTCTACCTAGTTTTCCTGGGGTGGAAAAATGCACTTGCCAAGAGGTATGCTTTGCTTCTGCTTTTGGTGTAATTCAGAGTTCTCCACTGGCTCTGCAGGTCCAAGAACTGATGACCCAACATTTGAGTATTTAAAGTAGCACTTGACATTCCCCGTGTGTGAAACAAGAAAAAAAAAAAAAGTCCTACATTCAGGTTGGCCCAACAACCGGTATTTCCTGGATCGTGTCTTTCCATGGCAAACAGAAACAAAATAAGAGACTGAAACATTAGCGGGAACAGGACAACACAAGGAAGAAAGATCAGCAGATCAGCTGCTTTTGTACTTACTCATGGAAGTTCTAATACCTGCAGCAGCAGTTTAAATTATTTTTTGCAACCGAGTATTTTTCCAAAGTGTGGAGGAGAACCAGCTGTCTTCAGTTTGACCCAAGGACTTAAGACTTACCTTCACTGATAACCTTGTGATAGTGACTATAACACTCACTCTCCAATGAAGCACCAAAGAGCAACAGACACTAGAGCTAAAGAAAGCTCCACTCCTGTGTGTCCCAGTTCCTTCCTTTGTCTCTCCCTTGCATCCTTGCTTGTGTCTCCTTCATTCCCTTTGCTGTTTTCACTTACCTTTCTCCTCACTTTTTTTTCTGCTATCATCTTCCCTTTTTTCTTCCACTTTTCTGCTCCCATCTCAGCTGTGCATTTTCCTTCTATTTTCCTCATTCTTTATACTTTTTCTCCTTGCTTTTCTTCAGCTGCCACCCATCTCTTTGTTTATGCAGAGGTTTCATTACCATAGCATGTATGTCTCCCCTGGCACTGCCTTAATTCCTGTTGTTCCACACCCAGTTGAGCTGTTATCCTTAAGCTAGCCCTCTCCAATATTTTGGATCTGGATAAGCACGTGGCCACAAGGTGGAGAATCTTTCCAAACCCCATACCATTCTTTTCTGTGAAGTCCAAGCTATTACACATGCATCCCTAAGCTTCTGCAGGTATCCCAGGTGCATCAGGGTGACATGTTCACACATGTAATACCAGAGGTTTGGATAGGGAATTATTTTAGAGACGGTCTGAGTGGGTTGCATGCTCTGTTCCTTAGCCACATCCTTGTTGGACCCCAACTCTTTTCCTAAATTACCGCTTCATCTCTCTTCAAAGAATGGAAGGGGAGAGAAAAAGGAAGTGAAGGGAGAGACACAAGATCCAGTTTTCTCTTTTCTCTCTGCACTTGGAGCCAAGTGCCAGTTTCTGTCTAGCACCTGGCCTCTGACCATGCGGCAGGCTCATGCATTTTGTAGCCTTTGCTGCTGCTGTTACACAGGCAAGTTCATTGTACTTACAACTTGGAAAGCTCCTGCAGCCTGCAACGCAGTGTTAAAATCTAAGAGAGATTGAAATAGTTACATTGGTGTTGCTCATTCCCTGTCAGCATGTGTCTGTGTGATTGGGAATTAAAAGGAAGGCGAGACGGAGAGAGATCCAGTAGGATTTCTCAGCCACTGAAACCTGACGTAGGTGAGTGCAGACCTGTCCTGTGACTGTGAAAGAAACACGTCCATTTTCTGTTACCATATGACACTTCAGTCAGATGCTCCTGTCTGGAGACAGTTTTCAGTGACTCCAGAGAGCTCATTGCACAGGGAATCTGTCTGGGATGGGAATAAAACTTAAAATGTTTAAGTGTGAGATCAAAGATGGGTTTAAAAATATTACTTTGCAATGGAGATGATAGTGAATTGAGTTACTGTTTTTTCAGGCCACAGTTACCTATAGATAAACAAGAATGAACAAGATGTGTTTGGGCAGAGGGTGGAGAGTCTATTTTCTGTTGGGATTGCCTTTCCATGGGGCACTGAAAACCTTGAGAGTAGTCTATTCAATTTCAGCCTAAAATGTGAAATCCAGTCCAAGTATGTATGTTAGGGGAATGCAGTTCCAAGTGTCTTGCTGTTTAAATATTGCAAAAGGGCACTGAAGACCCAAATGATGTCACCATGTGGCTTTTGCCAGAGAAGTCACAGAGATTTTTACAGTTTGGACCCAGTGCCATTAGCAAAATGGCTTCTCAACTCACCTCGTATTTTTTCCTTTTGATCTGCTCTGTAAAGTCATACTTTTCAGTCTCCAGATGGTATAACCAGTCCCACAGTTCCTTAGCCTTGTCCCTGTGTGTTTATGGGGAAAGCAAAATGGGAGAAACACATCACATCATGTATTTTCTACCGTTTTCACATCACTAGTAATGAGGCTTTTTACATTTTATTTAATGCAGTTCACACATCTTTCTGCAAACCCTTTCCATTCTCTGAAAGCTACTCACCATTTTCAAGGTCACATTTTGCTCACCTTCTCACCCAAGAACCTTTTAGACTTGCACTCTTGCATGTGTCACACACTAACGTATTTCCTACAGATTTCATTTTCCCGCTAACTCTTAATGAAAAAAAAGAAACCTGAGGAATCAGATGAGAAGGAAGGAGGACCCTGAAGGCCACCCAGAAGAGCAGAGCAACTGCCATTGTGCAATCTCATCTGTTTCAGGGCTGAGGTGAACCAACCTCATCTTTCAGTCACGTGTAAACTCCAACGTGTGAAGTCCAGACTATCATCTGATGACTGCTCTGCACCAGAGCACTCAGCTCCCAAGCCTCCAGCCTCCGTGGAGACCCGTACTCATACCTTAGCAACTCAACTCACCCTGGGAATACTACAGATACCAATCTGTGGGTTTGATCAACTAATCTCAGAGCTGCGTTTAAAGTTTGTACCTAGTCCCATAAATGACTAATCCTAATTAGCAGGAGAGGCTAATGGAGCTATGCCAGGAGCATGGCTAGATGTCTACCAAACGATTTCAACGATTCCCCACATCCCCATTTCCCCTCCATTCTCCAGATCAAGGAAGGGCACAACTTAACATTGTCCTGTGATGAATTTCCAGGAAGGCCCTCCCCTCTACCTCATTTTTTTCCCTAGAGAAGACTCCAGGACAGTAAGACCAAATTTCAGTGGATTACATTCAGTAAGTTAGGATAAGCAGGTTACCTCAACTTGTCTTCATTAAGGTGGTCGATGTTCAAGGGCTTGCGCCTCTCTGCCAGGACCTTCTTCTTTGTCTCTCTAGCTGTTTGCTTCTTCCCTCTCTTCTGATCAGCCTGTTTGCAGAACATCAGTTAATGGCAGACTGCAGACATTCAGGCTGAATTTCAGTGACAGAGCATGTAAGACAAGCTGCTAGCGATCCAGAAGAGGGAAAGGCAAGCTATTTTCTCAACTTGTAATAAAGACTGTTCCCAGTTAACCCTGTGGTTTAACGCTTCCGTATTTCTTCCACTGATCCATGCTTTTTACCTTAGCCAGATAGCTGCTGTATGTGGCACCCATGGAGGACAGAGCCTTCTTCTTCTTGAGATCATCCTCAGCTTTTCTCTTGGCATCTTCTTCCTCTCTCCGTGCCTTTTCCTCCTGTGGAGTGTGACACACACAAGCAAGTTACTCTAGGGGAGATTCACAGCTTCCCCAGCAGCCAGTGTCACTGCAGGGAATGTGATCAGATAAGCATGTTGATGAGAATTGGCAACTCCTGTTTCCTGCCATTGCTTTAAGAGGGTGGTCATTTCTTCTCTGGACCGAGACAGGCAGAACTCGTAGCTTTTTTCTGTCTCTAGATATCTCCTCCAATTCGATGCTGAGACAAGGAGCGAGACGCAAAGACACTTACTGCAAGCCTTGCCTGACGCTCCTTCTCCTTCTCAGCCCGGATTCTCTGTTGCTCTGCTCTTTCAGCTCTGCGCTTCTCCTGCAAGAAGCAGTGGCAGAGGCATTGAGTCATCGTTGTGGCTTTATCTACCTCCAGTATTGCAACCCACCACCAAGAGCTCTGGTTTGTAGAGAGTGAGCCACCTACTCCCTTCCCAGAACATGCAGACGGGTCTCGTGCAATTTCCAGATGTAAAACAAGAGGCTGAGAGAGGGGACAGATGTGGGAAGAAGCCATTTGATGGTGACTAAGCAGTCACTTCTGTACATGGCAATACAGCTTTCTGCCAAACTCTGACAGTGGACTAATGGATTCAACTTCTCACCTACAGACGATCTCTCTATCTAGTACAGGGAAATGGCAGTACAAGGACTCACAATCCTCTCCTTGAGGGCAACCAGCTCTTCCTCTTCCTTTCTCCTGGCTTCAAAGTGGCTGTCAATCAAGGCCTGCAGTTCAATCAGGTCTTTGTTCTGCCTTTTCTTTTGGATGTCCTAGAAGAGCAGGAAAATGCATTAAGCCAGCCCATATTGCTCTAGGAACATGCCCTGGACATTCCCAGTACCCTGCTTACATAGAGAAACAAAAGCAAAAAGTGTCTGCAGATATCCGTGGAAATCTATGGGATTAGCTTAAATGGCTGTTGATGCAGATAAGAGACAGTCAGAGGCTCATCTAGGTGACAGTCAGGAGCCCAGAAGGAAACAGAATCCACATCTCCCATTCCCCTACACCATATTTTATCCCTGGCTTTGCTTAGCTGCCTCCTCTCCACTTTGGGATATGAATCTTATCTAGAAGATGTTCCTGCATTTTTGGGCAAAGCACTTATTTCTGTGGAGATTTTCAATACCAGGGTTTCTTCATTTTTCTATCAACTTTCTGGGAAGGTATTTCAATCTATGTTTATTGTTAAAATTATGTTGTCATTTTTGGTAGTGTTTCTCAGCAACAGATGAGCATAGGCCTGCTTTATTTCAATGTGCAACTTTCAAACCGTTTACAACAACAGGATGGGATCTGAGAGCTTCTAAAACACTTACTTTCTCCTTTCTTCATATATTGGCTTCAAATATTTAAGGAGAAAAAAAAGAAATACATGAATTAACATTTTATCTTAGTCACATTAACAGCAAATGTATCCCAAGAGTTTCAGGGAGCAGAGAGTAGCTTTTCACTGAAAAGAGGCAGCAAAGCATCCATACTTTTGTCCTTGACTTTATCCTCAGCAGTATCCAATACAGGAGGAGTTACGTGGGTTTGCACACATATGTATGGCTCAGGTACAGACAGACACAGTCATTCTCAGGAATACTTACATCAAAATCTACTTTCTCACCCTCTGGTATTTTAGGAGCAGTTAGTCTGTGGAGAGTCAAAAAAAAAATTTTTTTTTCACCTTAAAGAGCAGGCAGCTTTTTAAATAGCACGTCCTGGCCTGACCTGCCCTCAGGAATGATGCTGACAAGGACAAATGTTGATGGAGATACAGAGGGGTGAAACAGCAAGTCAATGGAAAACTACTCCAGAATAGCACTAAGGACCATTGTCCTTTGTGGAAGGTCATGCAGGGCAGGGAGTTACCCCTAAAAATCCTTTTCATTCCCAAAGCCTACAGTCATTCCCTACCACACAGAAAGATATTGGCCCATGAGGCTCTCGGCGCAGTGCTGCACGCTGCTTTCTGGGCAGCTGGTGGAGTTGGTAGGGAAGGTTCTGGGGCCCAGAGCCGGAAGGTCTATAGGAAACCTTAGTTAAGCTCAAGTCAGCCCAGCCCAACATTTACCATCCTTCCTACTGTCAGTGATCCCGGATGTATGGGTAGTTTCCCAGCCATGGCCTCTCTCAAAGGATTTAGTGTTGAGCAGCCTATATCTTGGGGTACTGTGAGATGACTGTATCTTGGACAGTTCACGGGTCCTCTGACTCTATCAGAAACTGGTCTTAAGACCCTGGTGAGTAACTACTGCTAAGGCATCTTCTAGCAGAAGCAGAAGTCCTGGAAAGGCATGCAGGAATGGCTGGATGTTGCACAAGGAGGGGCTGGATAAAGGCGTCCAGTGGCCATTTGCCTAATAGACAATCTAAGTGCTTCTACTAGGTCAGAAAAATGATCCCAGGGTTTTGAAACTCCCTGCTCTTCATACTTACTTTATTCTGGGCTTCTCCTCTGTATTTGGAAACATGGAGCAAAACAGGAAGGGAAAAAGAGGGAGAACAGTTAGAACAACAGAGATCATGCCAGCTGCTAAAGTAAAAGGAGGGAAGGGAAATTTAATCTTAGGTGAAACATCTCAGAGAAACTGGTTAAATCTCAAGCACTTACAAAGGAAATACACACACTCACACACCCCTTTTGCTAGTAGTGAGTCTGTTTTTACCCTTGAAACAGAATTTGGCAGAAAAGAATCAAGAGGCTGTATAAAAGTCCCAAATGTAGCATCTGGAAGGCAATGGTTTCATGTAAATACTAGATTATTTTTCTCAAACCATCCTGACCAAAGCTCTAAGAAGTACAGCTGGGCTAGAGGATAGAAGAAAATGTTGCCTTTTTCAATCAGCACTTCTTTTGCTAAAGTTAACCTGAATTCATAGTCATGTCAATGATAACTAGACTTCACCAGTGTTGCTCAAATGCCTCACATGGAGGCCAGGAGGGAAAAAGCTTCATGACACATTTTCTCCAGGTTCATTGACTCCCAAGATAGCTTAAGGCACATGTCCCTGAGATACCTTGGTGCCATGGGGAAGATGCTTATTCTTCTGCACTGTGTGGTGCTCCTCAAATCAAGCTTGGAAAGGCCATCCTCTCTTAGCGAGCATCCTTTCCTGCT